GCATGTAATTAAGAATTTTTGTATTTCCTGGCCTCTAGACTATTAGATAGATAGATAGATAGATAAATAGATAGATATATAAGTAGATAAAAAGATAGATAGATAAATAGATAGATGCATGTGTGTGTACGTGAGTGTGCGTTAGTGAATCTGCGTGTGTGTGTGTGTATGTGTGTGTGTGTGTGTATGTGGAGGAGAAAAGTACTTACCCTCTTTGCTGAATACGTCCCTCCTGTCCGCCACTACTATTGGCCTTCGTTTGACTGAATTCACTCCGTTCCCCAAATAGGCTGCAGCCGAAAGACTGTAGAATCGGAAAATTGGCCAAGTATTATTGGTCTCCACCGATGCTCCTTGATTGGTGGCTTCAGCCATGTTTGAGGATTCCTGCTGGCCCAGATCGAGGTCCGCCGGGTTTCGACTGGCGAGAGTGAGGATCTCGCCCATCTGCCTCTGTCTCATGGGGAGTCGAGTCTGCCGTGCCGAAGGGGTTCCGGCCAGCTTGAGGCCAATGGCCGGAGACGAGGTGTCCGGGTGGAGCGCACGCGTCTGACGAGGGGAGAGTGGTTGTTGGTGCGAGGTCGGGGGAGCCAAGTGAAGGCCCGAGAGGGTTGGTGGCTCGAAAGGGTGCAGACCGCTTCCGTGCTGGCGTGCTTTACTGGCGAGCAGATGTGAAGACGGCTGAAAGTGGGAAAGCCGTGCGTCCAGCGGTGGGGAGTCTGGCGGCGCCGTCTGAAAGTCGAGGGTCGGGCGAGCAACGGAAAGTCGTCGTGTCTCGTCGACAAGTGGTGCGAGTTGCAAAGAAGAGTTGTGCCTCAATGTCGGAGAGTCATAAGGTGTTGCGTAGAACGAGGAGGCAGAGGAGAAAGTGGCGTTGGAGAAGGAAGCGGTGGCCATCACAGTCACGACCTTCAGCAGAAAGTGGAGAGTGGTTAGGCGTTGCAGTATAGAGTGCAGAGTCAAGGGTTCACTAGGAGGGCGCGAAGTGAAGGGAGGAGAGTAAGCGATATGCATATCGGATCTTAAAGTAAGGTACGTAAGGCAAGGGAGTTTGTGCGTCGTCAGAGTGGACGGTCGTCTCTGCTTCCCCTCGTGATCTCCTCTGTCTGACAACCTCTAGTGCCTCTTCTACTCGGACAGTTCCGCCTTCAGACATCCATGCCAAACTAGCAAGAGTTACCGCTCAAACTATGGTTAAACACCATCTCCTCGGGTGAGTTCTGTAATGAAATAAAATAGGTTTCATAAAAAAAAGGTGACCATAACACGAAATCCAATGTCCCACTTTAATTCATCCTAGTTCTACAGTAATTTCATAAGATAAAAGTGTTTGGCAGACTTTTAATCTCGTATGAAAGTGCATGAAGAATAGCTTCAAAAGTCGATCTCATTAGAAGACGACGGCTGATTACGGCTGTATTGCAGGTTGACACAGTCCATCAGACATCCACCCTCGTTTCGGGTGAAAATGGGCAGAGCTTCCCTCCATCAGATGATGGACATCATCCGAGCTGGAACTCATTCTTCCTGACCTGGTGTTAACTGGGAACTTTGACAAAAATGCATTTTAACTCTGGTGGCGTCCGGCATGTGAAGAAAGAAAGCTCTGCTCAACACGAGACAGGATGTCTCATGGACGCTGCCAACTTGAAATTCATACTGAAGCCAATCGGCTCAAGTACCACGCGAATCAGCCCTCGTCTTTTGGTGAGATCGGCCTGCGAACCTCTTCTTCATGCACTCTACTACGAAATGAAAGTCTTCACAACAATAGTATTTTGTAATTACACTCGTCTATATCTCGGATCTCACGAGACACGACCATTCTCTGTATTTTCCGTGAGGCCCAGCCCAGCTCAGTGCGTCGATGGACAGTTTTAGCGGCTGCGAAAATTCTCCATTTTGCACACGTATGTACATTGCGTAAGAAGTAGAGGTGTCAATGCAAGCATACCCTTTTGCATTAACACAGCTCCATCGCTGCATCAGCTCCACATGTCTCTATTTCACACACACCCGGAGCATAACGCACAAACAGTCGCTCAGAATTGGCCGGATCTTCCTACTCCAAGCTTGGCCAGACTGGCATGCTCGCTTGAAGCTGGTTTCACCGTGTCTGTGGAATCGCACCCACCCTAACCTTCACACAGGTGGTTGGTTGGAGGCAGAAGCTGGTAGGTCCCAGCCACCAGCCTCACGCCCAACCTCAGAATCCCAACAAGCACATAAGGCCCTGAATAGAACATTCTTGGACCGTTGAAACACACAAATCTCCAGGCGCTAACCAGGCACATAAACATCGGACTGGAGAAGCCAGGAGCTGAGCACGACTACGGCCAATTCAACGGTACCAACGGCCACAAAACACCCCTTCTCCTTCCGGTGTGGTCAGGCTGTAAAATGGAAGGGCCAAAGAGTCAAGAGGAATGATGCTACAGAAGTGTCTATCAAGACGAGTCACTTTCAAGGCTCTGGGTTAGCCAGTGACCAAACCATCCTCTTCACCCCCATAGGCCACCTCAATCGCAAATTTGCAATGTTGTCCAGGCAAGAGTTAAGGAAACAAGTATACAGATTAGATAGGGAAGCAGACTTGCACCTTCCAAAAAAAGGTAGCCAAAGGTCTTGAATATGGGGTTGAAGACGAGGGAGGACCAGATTAGATATATTTGTAAGACTTAGCACACCTCATGCGCCAAGTTCTAGCAGAGAAATAGTAGTGCCCTAGTAATCGGTGTTCTGAAAAGACAGAAAGAGAAAAAAAGAAAAAATTCGGGCATTCATACCTGTTGTAGTCCCTGACGAGTTTGGGATTTTAGGCTAGGAAAACAGGTGTATTTTTTCAGTTGATCCGCTGGATTGGATCAGTCTGGAACTGGAGTTCGAAGCTATTAGGTTTCAGTCTCGCTGTCGCACTATGAGAGATGAACAACATTCCCATATATATATATATTTATTTATATATGTGTATGTGTATGTAAATACATGCATACAGGCATAGATACAACATCAAGCGTCCTTGAATAAAAGGCTATAACCAGGACTTGTGTGTCTGCGGTAAAAATGCCAAATTGCGGAGCCAGTTTCGTCCAAGCTGACTCTACTAAACCTAAGAGCCTCGATTAACCTCGGTCGTAGCGTACGCGAATATCGTTTTCTAACTGTGCATCACATGAAATGGCTGGCAGCCTATTTGTGCACTGTGGCAGGATAAAGGAGCTGATGACCGGTTCGCACGAAAAAGGCGGTAGGCAGTAAGGCGTCTGTCTGACAGTGCCCGGAACGCTAATACGCTAAAGAGAAGAGGCAGACTGTTTACGCAAAATTTCAGCAATTACATTTCGGAGAGCATTTCAGAATATGAAATGTATTCACGCTATTTGGTTTTCCAAAAATAATACGAGTAAACATGACGTTTCTATTGAATTTCACATGGCCTGGTTTTTCCAAAGGGTTTCGAGGAATCTCTTGCTTCCTAATTGTTGAGCTTACTTCCATTTCGAGTGAAACTGTTGGGTGAAGAGATTCGAAGGTCGCTTCCACCAGAAGACGACGGCGGATTCCTCTTGACCAGCTGTAGATTGGCTTTACTGGAGCATTCATGCTGATGCTGTTTCCGAGGCAATCTCCTTCGATTCCGGTGAAAAGGTGCTAAGCTTTCGTCAGTCAAATGACGAACATCAGAGCGAGGTAACGGCGTCACAACCAAAGTCAAGAAAAGTCAAGTCAAGAAAACATGACTCGCTAGCTTGAATTTTGTTGTGACGATGTTACCTCGCTCTGATGATGTCCGCCAAATGACGGACGAAAGCTTAGCACCTTTTCACCGGAATCGAAGGAGATTGCCTTGGAAACAGCGTCAGCATGAATCTTCCAGTAAAGCCAATCGACAGCTGGTCAAGAGGAATCCACCGTCGTCTCCTGGTGGAACCGACCTCAACAATTATTCTCATCCAGACAGGAGTTGACTGCCGTTTCGACCTCATCTAAATCGGTTTCATCAGCGCCCCCAACGGGACTCGAACCATGACGGTGCAGCGAATAAATCCTGATACCGTAACTGCCACTTCAGACTGCCACAAGTGCCTTTGGTCACAATTCAGATGCGAGTTTCAAGGAAGGCTAGGCGTTTTCCCATATCACATTATATTGTGGGATTGTCAATGTTGACTACATTCATTAACGTTCGTGTTGTAGGTAGGTTGTTGAGATTACAAGTGGATCATATATATATATGAGTTGTATTGGCTCTATTTCATTTAAGAAGATAAAGGGACTAGTAGTTGAATTTTCCCACAATGCTATGAGTAGACACGACGTTTCTATTGAAGTTCACTTAGTCTTGCCTCCCAAAAGGTATTCTCGTCCCAAATAAAAGGACCGACTGCAGTTTGATCGTCAGCGAGGTTGCAACTACAGTTAATCATGGCTGATACTACCTTTTTGGGAAGCAAGGCTTTGTGCAATTCAATGGAAACGTAAGGTCAACTCATTTGATAATGGAAATATTATATTACCAATTCACTCATCATTCTAGACGAATTAGGATGAAGACACCTCATATAGCCGATTTACTTGTAGTCCCGAAACCCCACGTACAAACGAAAGTAGCATTTCGGAATGCCATCTCGTTATGAAGGACATGCATTTCAGGCATAACCTTGTGGGTTGATGAGCAAAGATGTTGCGGCTGAACGGCAACCCGAACAACATCCAAACCGCTCTGGTTCTCAATCCAACCAGTGGTATAGACGAATTTCTGGGTCATTTTTGGCACTCGCAGTTCACCGGGAGCCGTGAGCAAGTCAGCGGCAGGCTCGACTCCATCGGGGTTTCTGAGGTTAGAAGTGACTCTGGGTCAATCATGAGTCTAGGCGAAAAGGACGGATCGTCACCCACAACGAGTGATCTTTGCCGAATGAAGTTAGAGGGACGCAAGCAGGCCGAACGTGTTGCTCATCCTCACTCTGAACGGATTCCGCCACCAGTTGAGTAGAGCGTCAAGCCGAGTGATGGGAGAACGGCTCTTGGTTCGCCTCGTCCGAGGTGGCCTTTAAGGCGAACTCGGAGCATGTTGCTCGTTTCGGCGAATGACTTCAAGGACCTCTAAGACAGGCTTGAAGGAAAAGGGAGCACAGCTGATTGCTGGTCTCACAACCGCAAGGCGAGATACAATTGAATAGTCGAAGACTCAGGCCATTCATTCGAAGATCGTCTGCTTATAAATGATGCGGCTGACGACAGGATCACCATCCAAGTGGAACTGACGCGCACGGTTTGAAGGGGACTGTGTGGGTGAGACAGATTGTCGACTAATTCAGTCAGACACTTCAGAGTTTATGGATGCTTAATGGAGAGTTGGACAATTTAGAATCGAACCCATTTCACGTATGCTTACAATATGACCATTAAAGGACAGGTATTACAAATGACGCAGGACCAGGAGCAAGAAGCTACGAACAAAAGGAGCAAGCAGAAGCGGAAGGAGTGAAGATGTACTAAGTTTTCTTCTGTCATATGACAAGCATCTTCATGCAAGGCCATCATTCTTGAAACCATATTCAAGCTGGAGAATCAAGAAAACCCACCTATCCATCCCTTCAAGCTGTCAAAATAGCCTAAACCTATGCAGTTTGATGTTGCACCGAGTGAGTTGATGTTAGACAACCTTCCATCTCTAACGAAAAGTTGGTCGGAAGGACTTCATGAAATGGTTTCACTAGAAACTGAAGGAAGATTGCCGTGTAGTGAAGACTCTTGAATTGTGCGAATAAGTCCACAACTTAGGCTTCTGTGAGCCCATGGACCTGTGCTGACCTATCACACCTCTATCGTCATGACCATTACATACACACAACATGAGTCGGCAATAAAAGAAGAAGCAACCACCGAATCCATTTCCGGTTTACGAATTAACTTTACTCATCTACAAGCATGTAGAGTAAGTTTTATGTAGCCAACCAAACCATGGGATGCCTCGTAGGATCGCGAGGATGTGTATAGGAAGAAGGCTATGATTTCAGTCTGACGCCATTTTTCTTTGCTTGTTCATACTCTTTGCGCTATCCCTAAACGTGAGGATGCCTGTTGCAACGGTTTATACGAAAGCCTAGCACAGGTTCATCGAGGACTCGGGACGCTGAGCCGATTACTTTTTCACATAATCCACGGCAATCCTTTTTGATTTCCGTTTAGGCAATTCCTCGAAACCAATCTTTTCTTTGAAATGAAAAGTCATGTCACAATAAATCACAATGGAATTCTTCGTAACATCTGTCCTCGGTCATCACACCCGTGTGGTTAAGCAGATGAGACTTTTTGTATGTGTGTATGTTCGAGGGAGGGAGAGTAGACAAGTTCAGACCGTCGTTAGAATCATGACCAAGGAAAAAAAAGTTGAATCGCTTATGTTCGAGTGGCTGTTCTAATTTTACGCTTAACTACAAACATACCATCGTCAGCAATGTGACAAGCCTGGAACCATTCTGGCCACGTTCCTCGGTGTGTTCGTCTACTCGGATCGGCGAAACCAACAGCCTCTACTGGCGGCTTTGTGTTCAGCCACGCCTTGCCGAATGTGGCAACATGTCTATCCAACACAAATACGACCGCATGTACATATTATTTAGTGTAGCGTAGTCTCAATAATAGGTTCACTTTCTCTGAACGTGGGTATAATCGGAGAAGATATGAAGACCAAGATGTTGTGGCCCCTATTTTCGTCATAGTTTCCTTCCGATGTGCACAAGTCATCTAACCTCATTTTCGCTACTTAGTCGTGTTGTCAGGGCGGCCTAGTTGGACGCACATTATCCGATGTCCTCTGTAATGGTAGTTAGCATAATTCTCAATGTTGGACGTTAAACTTGGTACATTGCAGTGTAGTGATTCTTGCTATCCTAAATACGAAGCTACAACTTGTCAAAAGGACAAATGAAGCCAATCGCACGACCAACATTCTGGTGGAATGGTTGTGCTATCACTCCTGTCATAATACATCTTCCTACTCCCTACCCTGCCAGAGCGCTTGACTTGTTTCTATTCCACTCCTTAAGTGGTTTATTTTTTTACGACGAGTTTAATGTGACGTCATCACACCAAGAATGGCGAGGCCCGCTGATGATGCCGACCACGTTGCCCATTAAACGTCTGGGAATGTACCAAGTCCATGGTTCGCCGCCGAGACTTATGCTGACTAGCATAGCAGAGGACCTCGGACAAGAGGCGTCCACTAGGTCGCCCTGACGACACGACTAAGTTGAGAAAACGAGGTCAGACCACTGCTAAAACCGAAGACGGTTTGTAGCTCTCTATAAAACCCATACCTTCCATACCTTCACTAGAAATAGAAGTGAGCTCAACTATTTGGACTAGTTAATAAACATTTTGTCGCCTAATGAAATTCGCCTACTCCTTTCCTTTGTGGATAGTCTCAAGGCATACTCGACATACAAAAAAGTTGTTCATGGCTGAGCGTTTGTCTCTATTGCATGATATGAAAGACCAAATGAGAAGACTATGTGAAATGTATTCATATTTTTTTTAGTTCAGGATGATAAGTGGACTGGTAGCTGAAATTTCTGTGCCCTATAACCCAAGGGCATTTGTGGCAATATGGTGTAATGGTTCTAGTCCCGATGAACATGTTGATGAGACGTAGGTGTGGCCGGAGCTGCAGTCCACTCTTTTCTGGATGATAATACCTTTTTTGAAGCAAGGCTATGTGAAATTAGATGGGAAAGTAAGGTCTAGTCATATGATTGTGAGTAAATTCGACTACCAGTCTCCTTATCATCCTAAATGAAATAGAATGAATATATCTTATATACATAATCTACTGGTAGTCTAGAAAGGCTTCTTATAAAGGCAAAATGCGAAGACTCTTTTGCCAGCCTCAAGTGTAATCACGAGGCCACTTTGACCCTTTGAGGAGGACCTCGAGGAAACTGGATTATTCAGGCTGCGAAGAAAAGTTGGGTTTCGAAGAATCGCAGGTTTCATAATTGTTGAGCTTACTTGCATTTCGAGTGAAAGTGTTTGGTGGAGAGATTCGAAGGTCGATTCCACCAAAAAACGACGGCAGATTCCTCTTAACCAGCTGTCGATTGACCTTACTGGAACATTCATGCTGACGCTGTTTCCGAGGTAATCTCCTTCGAAGTTTTCTTCACTCGTTAGCTTGAATTTTGTTTTGACGCTGATACCCTTCTCTGATGATGTTCGCCATATGACGAACGAAAGCTTATACCTTTTCACCTGAATCGAAGGAGATTGCCTCGGAAATAGCGTCACCATGAATCTTCCATTAAAGCCAATCGACAGCTGTTCAGGAGGAGTCCGTCGTCGTATTCTGGTGGAATCTGTCCACCAAACACTTTCCCTAGAAAAGGAAGTAAGCACAACAATTATTCAGACTGGCTTGGTTTCCTCGTTTCATTCAGAGGCTAATGGTGACTAGGCGGCAACAAGGAGACAGTAGACCACACAAACAAACAAATAATGGGAAACCTAGAGGAGCGTTAAATTGTAGGAATTTTCCGGTTGTCCCTGATTTTCTCTTTTATCATATCCTCTTCTTGTCTATCTCTGGCATAATAATGCACTACATGTAGCACCATCGAAAAAATGGAATACAATCAAATGGTCCGTGAATGCCCCCCACCTTTATGGTAAGCTTAGAACAACTACCAATGTGCTTGCTACATTTCCTCTTTGTCGGCGTCTCGTCATGTTGTTGCCGCCTGCAGAAGCCTCAGATCGACGTCGCCTAGATACAGCAAATGCAGAGGTCTGATCCGCCGAATGCCGCTCCACGTGAGGTCGGTATCCTCGGTAAAAAGCCGTTTTGATCGTTGCCAGAGCGCTAAAGTATGATTATCAAATCGGTGCTGCACTCCAAGATACGTGTCCAAAGACGCTCTTTGCGACTTAGAGATGCCGACAAATGCGTGGCCTCGGCATATTAAGCGCTAGTTTATGGTTCCATTTAACCCCTGTAATCCACCTCAACTGGTCGTCACTCTTCAGATCGCATTTCTCGCTTTTAGCCCCGTCTGCACGACCAGGCAACCGCGTGCCGAGCGGTGATAAGCAGGCTGGCTGATGGACTGTTCAACTGAGCAACGGATTAGCACGGACCCCTTTGTCCAAGCGTCTGATGTCTCGTTAATCTCATCCAGCCTCTACGACTGACTCATGATGAGACGGGTGGAATGGGTCGGTTGGAGGGGACAACCACAGACCTTGAGGATCATCCTTGGAGAGCGCAGACCGAACTGACTACTACACTATCGCCTACTTGCTATGACTCCGTTTTAGCTAAGGCACCATGTACCAGGCCCCAGGTACGGACATTGTTTTAGTTGCTATAACTACCATAGTTAGCACATATGTCACTAGCTCCGCTGATAATCACGCCATGTGCACAGTAGCAATATTTGATTTCCATACATATGGGTTGGGAAATTACCTAATGTATCTACAGCAACCTCATCTCCCAGATTCTTACTTAAGGCTCATCATCTAATTTACTGCAACTATATGAACCAAATAACCACATTAGAAGATGTGTTCATCACTTAAAAAAAGAATGCCAGTAGAAATGAATACCAGACCGACTACGAATGAAAGAGAAAACAACTGAAATGGATGAGACAATAATTTCCCTAACTAATATTTTGTCATATAGCTTTACGAGATTGTGGACCTTGAAAACAAGGATTAGCCTGCTGCTACCGAAAGATTGTCAATCCTCCTGAGTTTTTACGTCCAGTTCGCACTATTTGGACAGGTTATGTCTCTTTAACCTGGCTTTTCTCACATCTGCCTGCATCATATCTAAGTTTCTGTTGACCCCAAACTCGATCTGGCCTGTGAGGGAAGTAG